TGAATTTCCTAATCTGCAACCTGTGTGAGATTTTATCACTAAATAAAATAATGCACTAATTCTTTTTATGCCAACAGCTTAACACTTTATTTCAAATAACTAATTTTTGATTGCAAAGGCCTCTCTGGTCTGTTCTTATCACATAACACTCATTAACTAGTTAGTGCTCATTTAAGCACTTTGCAAAGTACTATATTTTTGCCAGTTATTCTTGCTGTCACCTAGGTCAGTGGTTTATTACTCAAATACTTTCCCCCCAGTTCTGGAATAAGACTTCATGTATTACAATCCTCAGGAGCACCAACTCATCCTTTCTCAAACACAGATACCATTCTGGTGGCAAAAATATTAGCTATTTATGTCAGACTTTTTTTAGTAGCTCTTCCTTCCTTCAAAATTCTTGAATGAATACTATTCAGTCCTGGTGACCAGATCCTAAGCTTTAAAAAAAAAATTAGGTGAGCAATTATGTGCATAAAGTATGGCCCCATTTTGTGTTTGCCAACTGGATGCCTAATTTGCACTCATAGTTACTGCAATTGCATGCAAAAATGATTTAATTACATACGCAATTGACCAGTGAAACACATAAATGATCATTTCCATGTACAATATCAGTAATTGCTCATAACTTTGAAAATCAGCAACTTAATGTTAATTTGACACCAGTTCCAGTTGCACAACTGTTATATTTAAAGATTTCACTTATCACACAACAAATGAAGCATTCTTTTTCCATTAAGTTTCCCCACACACGCACTAGTTGGTGGATCTTTTTGCTGTAAGTAGGATTCAGATGTTTTGCCACAACTATGCAGGACTGCAATCTATTTATATACTATAATGTATCTCACAATAACCACAGATTTGTACTCTTGTCAAACAAGGGAACAGTATATTTATAGAGAAATATTTCTCCATCATCATTAGGGGCAATGAGATAACAAGTCACTTGACTATTTTCGTCCAATTATTTTGCTTGAGGCTAATCAGAGATTACAAGTATCTGTCTAAACAAGTATGGCTACAGCAAAGACTTGAAACTTCCATAGAAACCCTTCTGTTGTTTTTTATTTATTAAATTTAAGTAAACCTTAATATGATGTGGTGGCTGTTATATGTCAGGAAGCTTCAGTCCCATCTATTTTTCTCTTACACTGTGACATTTCTGGAGAGTAAAAAAATAAATTCCCTCTGAGAGATTATCAAAGAGTGCCATGGTATGGCTGAATGACTGGACAGTATTTTATGAATGTTGTTATACTCGTGCTGCCTTGTAAGTTCTAACATGCTACGTCAGGCAGCAGAAGAGAATGACATGGAGTTTATGGGCTTTGGAGGCTTTAGACAATACTTAGAAGGGGAGACAGAGAAATGGTATAGAAATACGGGCCACCATAATATTTTCAAAGTGATTGAACATAGTCCCATTTTAATAACAGAAATAGTGTTATATCAATCTTACTAACATTATTATTAGGAGAGCAAATTACATAATGCAATGGCAAAGTAATTAAAGATTATCTTTATTTAGGTGAGGGCTATGTAACTTGTACTTAGTGGGGATAGAATTCTGGAGAGGTAGATTATTTTCTAAGCCTTTGTAAGTTTAATAAACATAGATCAAGAAATATTATTCACAGCTACAATGAATTATATCAGAAGTGGGCAAAATATAGCCCACTAAACATTCGGATCCTGTCCACCATGATCCTCTGCATCACCAATGTCCCACAGCCCAGTGGGATCCTTGGACAAGCTCCCTGCATGCCACAGCATTGTGGGTAGGAAGGGTGTCTCTGTGCATGGTTCCCACCCATCAGCACAATCCTCACAGGCAGCTCACAGAACCTCCTCCCCATGGCTCACAGAGATGCAGACACTGACTCCAGCAGCTGGCCACTTTGAGCAGCATGTGGTGATGTGGTAGGCAGGGAGCCAGCCCAAGGGTCCCACTGGGCTGCTGGCTGGAAAACACCTAGGGTAAGCACCTCTCAACAAGAGTCTTCACCTGGGACTCCACCCCTCCTGCACCCAAATACCTGCCCTAGGCCACAACCTTCTCCTGCCTCAGATCACAACCTAAACCCTCTATAGCTCCTCTTGTACCCCTGCCCCAGTCATAACTCACTCCCAAACACAGCACGCCCTCCTAATCCCATGCCCCAGGTCACAACCCTTTCCTTCACCCATGTTCCATCCCAGACCATGCACCCCTCTTGCACTGCAGTCCCCTATCCAAAGCTCCTTTCTGCACCCAACCATGCACCACTGCTCCATCAATGTCATAGAAAAGTGTGGCCCTTGACCATTTACCAAATTCTTGGAGTGGCCCCTATCAATAATTATTGCCTACCCATGGATTACATAGTAATATTTGTAAATGCAATTACTGAAATAGTAATCCAACCTAGTCATTTAATAATAATGATGGTAGTTTATATTTATGTAGTACCTTATCTCCTGAAACACTCAAAAGCATTTTAGACATTTAGACCCAATCCTACAGTCTCAGACAGGAAGACCCTGGTGCCCTCCAATAGGCCCACTAGAATCAGTGATCCTCTACACAGGTTCCTGGGACAGTCAATGCAGATTTGATCACACACAATCAGAGTCTTAGGCCCTGATCCTGCAAATGCCCTTGAGTGATTTTGGTATACAGGTGTGGCCCTGCTCCAGCAAAATCAATGGGAAAGTAGAATCAAGACCACTGAATGAACTGAAGAAAAGAATCAAACTTGCCTTCAACAGCTGGTGCTGCAGGCTTCTTTCTTGGATGTTGCTCTACAAGTATATGAGGAGGTTCTGTTTCCTTTTGTCCTGCACATAAAGGGATACAAGTTAAACAGTGTAGAAAATGAATCCAAACTTTAGCTTTCATTATGTAGCATCTGGATTTTAAATCATTGTGTTTCTCCTTACAATGTGCATTATTCATAACTTGGGGTATATGCTCGACATTTTCAGAGTCACTAGCAGACTGTCTTCTTCAGAACTGTTCCTATCTAAAATATTGCGTTTTGCATAGAAACTGTGTATCCAACAGATATTATTGGGAAAAATGTACATTTTAAGAAATATAACATCTTTCTTATAATATCTACTGAAAAAGACATTCTTAGTCTTTGAGGATATCATTACAGCTTAGTACAATACTACATTTTGAAGTATTTACAGTTCAATTCTTCTTCAATACACTAAAAAAATTCAAGATTAATACTTTAATGAAAAGCCCAGTTCTGAAAACAGAACTACTTCCAGCATCAGTGCAGAAATAATGGTGGCACGGTATGATATTGCCACTATTATATCTTCACTGCTGCCGGCAGAGCTGGACCCTCTCTGTGTATTGGTAATGAGCTATAAAGTATGAATCCAGCCTAGCTCAGTAGGCATTAAAAGTTGTTCCTGTCTGTTGGATACTTGGTGGCCCCTTAGGTAGGATGAGGTGGGTGGGTCTCCATTCCAGTTCCCATGTGACAAACTCACAGCTACTTGTTGCACTAATTGATAGTCGCAGAAGAAAAGCCAAGAACTGCATGGGACATAGAGACGTTGGGCTTATTTGCACAATGCATTAGTGCTTGCCAGGAGTGTAAATTCTAGTGTGCACCACAGTGTTATGCACTAACTGTCCATGGTGACACTGATGATGTACACTAAACATTACTTAATGCATGTAGATGTAGCACCGTTCCAAAGAGTCCTAGATCAGTGCTCACCAGGGAACGTGTAGTGTGTGCTAGCAGGGTCCACACAAACAATCACTAGGATATATTCCAGAATTAACACCCTTGCTGGTGTGCATTGTTGTACCCTTTAGATAAAACCTTGAACTACTGCTGTTCTAGATGAAGTCCCCTCCACTAATCAAAGTTGTGACATACTGGGAGAGTAGTGTGTGTGAGAAACTTGCCCTACTGCTGACTAGAAGGTAAACAGTGGGCTTTTCATCTCAAAGTTTTCAAGTCAATTCAAGCACTAAATCCACACCATTCTTTTAAAAGCTGAAGTTTTACAATGATATGCAAATTATCTGTAAATATGCAGTTAAGCTCAGAGGTTCCAAAACTGTTGTACATGAATTTGATGTTCCACCAATTCACTTTACATCACTTTTGTAAGAAGGTCATATATGAACCAATAAATTTCGGGAACCTTTAATTGCTGATCGAATATCATAAAATGTCACACATACAGCTGCTCAAAATTTGGCAGTAATGCCTGAATCATTAAGAAAAGGCTGAAATCTAAGTTTCATAAAGAATCCTATAATTTCAGCAAAAAAACCAAAGGATAATACTAAAGCTCAAATATAAAATCACTTTAGCTTTATGACAGTGAAATTAAGGAAGGTCAAATTTTAGGAATTCGAATGCATCAACAGTTTTCCAAACCTCTTGGGTCTAATAATCAGGCTTGAAATCAGCAAGAAGCAAGCTAATAAGATGTCTAGTACATTCTGTTTCCAGCCAGGTCAGAAGTACCATAAGAATAGGTTCTCTTGCTACAGGATTTCATTATTTCAATATCTAGTCCAAGGTGAATACTAAAAGTGTAGTGCACTGTGGAAATTAACAAAGAATAGAGTGAATGTGTGTGGTGGGGGGGAGGGGAGGTCAATTTTTTTTCTTCTATCAGAAAAGTTTAGAACTTTGGCCTAAAGTTCAAGTCAATTTTTTTTTAATTTAAACTGGTTTGCCCAGCTTTACATGGAAAAAGAAAGATAAATTATACAATTATAACTAACTGCTTTTTGTGCGGGGTGATAAAGGGCAGCCACTCAGAATGTAGGTCGGTAATTAAGAAAGATAGTTAATAATTCGGGCTGTACTGTGGGCTTTCTGCACTGTAAGGGAAAGTACCACATGAGAGAGAGTTCTAACACCTAGAGGAAACAGAGAGGTGAACATCATATTACTTCACTGTTCCTTGTTTCACCAAAAGTTCTAATGACTGCACCACTCTTAGTTAGTATAATCCCAATGTTATACCACTTGCCACTAATGACTTGTCGGGATTCTTTTTCTAGTTCTATACAAGTTTTATGCAATCATTTATTTCATTAAAATTGACCACATGACCTATGTATGAGTGTATTTAAAACACCAAATGCTTCAACTCCACAGATCAAAAAGTCTCCCTTAGGCCAGAATGTTTGTTCTGAGCAGGTTTCCATATATCCTGATAAAAAGCTACTTTAATGTTTCCATGTGTTATTAAACGTCTATCCATTCACTTTGATGGGAAGGCAAAGGACAGTAGCCAAATAAATATTTCATCCATTCTTTTGATGAAATATGTTAAAGGGAAATCTGAGTCAAATTTCTCCTTTCTCTCTCTCTGTGGTAAGTCATAAATCAGAAATTATTTTGCTACTATACAGAGAACTCAGAAACAGTAAAGCAGAATTGGTCATATATGATTAGACCATCCAGCATCCAGATTTCAGCAGTGGCTAGAACTGGCCAATTCATGCTGTAAATTAGGGGAAGGTAGGAGTTTTTTGTTTTGTTTTATGTTTTACTGATCCCTGGAAGTGATCAGATTGCCTCATGAAGGACCAGAATGTATAAAAACTTAGCTAAAAACATTATTGGTGATACCAATTATCTAACCCCTTTTTCAAATGTGGCCACAGCCCTGAATTTGAACTCCTATGGCAGTGCATTTTAAAGTCTGATTATGAGTGTAAGAACATTTTATTTTGTTTGCAATGTTAACTATTCATTTCAAAGGAGCCTTTCTTCTTCTCCTAGTGGAGAGGACCAAATACAAAGACTGGTTAATTTATTTTTTTGAGGGCCTGCTTTTCCTCTCAGACATGCAATTACAGTCATAAAAATCTGTGCACATTTGCATGCCCAATTTGCAAGTGTGCTGGTCATGATCATATCCACAACTGGCTAGAAAGGGGTAGCGAGAACAAATAGCAGGAATATATGATTTATACGTAAAATCACAGCTATTAACGTTGCTTTTCAGCACTTAACCTTTGGGAAAAAAATCATTTACTCAAGGATCAGTTAAAGTTGGTGGAAACCAGAGTAGGGTGAAGGGTTGTAGCTTCCTGCATGCAGCAGAATTCCAGTAAACTCACATGACACTCTCCTTTCAGAAACATTGTCATTTAGCAATAACATCAAGACACAAGAACAGCCTTCTCCGCTGACTGAAAGGAAGAAAGACTACTACAAAGGTAGTTAGAGATGTCCAGATGCTAACATGGGCAGATAAGTCAGATTAAGCTGAGACCAGAGCTCTGCAGCTCCGGGATCTACTTCTGCCATCTAAGTATATAAAGACTTTTAAGGTAAAAAAAAGATAAATAAATGTCTGATGATTGGATTTCTCACTATTTCTAATTTTATAGAATGAACAGCAGGCATACTTTATTTACGCTAATTTCCTTAATCTAGGGAATGACTTTTTAGCTGTGTCATGTCCAAAGTAACGATGCTGAACTTTAACTCTTATTATAATAGCAAAATTTGTTTCTTGCCGATCCTGTTCCTGTGTGAAGTCAGTTGCTTTCCATTCCAGGTGTGTTAGCTGGCAGTACTTACTTAATTCAAATTAACAAAAGAAACCATACTCCCAACAACATTCAACAGCAGTCAGCATTGCTAGAGAATCCATCACTCCCAGAAGCTGATGCAGGCAGCAATAATTGTCACAAATAAAAGAGCATTGAAAAACACCTCTCCTCCTCCTGTCCTGCCATCACTCTCTCACATTCAGATAGATGCTTGGGTGACCAGGTGGAACTTTGTAGCATGCCCTACAGGTCACCTAATCAGTGCTTTGGCACAAAAAACCCTTAAAAAGCCTGGTAAAAAGTTTCTAAATATATCTGTGCTTTGCTCACTGGGGACATCTAACCCATAGAAACGGGTGATTTAGTTTAACTAACATAAGCACACTCCTCGCACCATCACGTATTGTTAGAGCAAATCTCACACCAAATGTTTGCTGATACTTGGAATTAGACATACTATTGTAGTTGTTCTTTGAAAGCAATGAAATCTTGATGTAATCCTGTTCTCACTGGATTTCTCTTTTAGACATGCAAGTTTCTGGAAGGTAAAATCAGCCTCTCTTCATAACATTAGTATTTTCCCCTTGAACTTTAAAGTTGTCACTGTTCTGAGGAACAGTTTCTTCATTCAGCACTTGTGTACACTGAGAAAAGTGACTGGGGCAATCTGGATCAACCCTTAGGAAACTACAAAAATTATATATATATTTGAGGGAAGAGGACAGTGGGGGACACCAAAATATGAGGTTCACCAAATAGCCACACTTCCGTTACCATGGCAAAACTTGCACTGAAGTTACACTAAAGAAGAAAATAAAGTAGTTTACATCACATTTTGAATGAGTGACCATGCTACACATGAGCTCGATCCTGCACAGTATTACATGGAATGACAGCGTAGTAAAACTGCAGTGATGGGTTAGAGAATGAAGTCTTGAATTTATAACTGGCTCCTCAGAAATGCTGAGCACACATATCCCTCTCTTGCTGACATTAAGAGTACCATTTTTCAGTACCACTCAGGATCAGGCTCTTAATTAAATAAGTAATTGCCCAACAGTCAGTGACCCTCTACTAAAGTATGAGGTCAATGTTTCTGGGGGATAAACACTGTCATAGGACTAATAAGCTCAGCAATTATCAGTAGTTAATATAATTAATACTTTACGTTTCCTATGACACTGGCTATATACCAAACAGATGTGTTAAAAGAGTGAGTATATATTCAATATAAAATCTAAATGTTCAATATGTTCCACTTCAAGAGCATCAGGAGGTCACCAATCTATTAAGCTAAAAACAAAGGGCAGAGGGTTAACAGTGATGGGATGGGAAAGATGTGTGCAGTTTTGGAAGTGTGCTATGGTGAATGCTTTTTAGGAGAGGGTGAGGGGCAGGGCTGGATTACCCAATAGGCAGACTAAGGGTTTTATTTTAAATTACAGGGGGGGGGGGGGGAGGGCACTGTAATCTTTTCAGTGCTTAGAGCCTCTAAAAATCTTAATCTGGCCCTGGTGAGAGGAAAACCTCATCTCCTTTATAGTCCTTTCGCAAAGTGCTGAGAGGAGAAGGAAGTAGCAACAAGACCCACTTCTAGTTTTGATATTGCACAATTTTTGTTTTCAAATATGTATTTAGTGCAAGCATACTAAATTCTGTTAAACTGAAATATTTTCTTGGACAAAGGTGCAATCAGGTTCTTAATGGCCATAAGGATGTTTTCACCCACACACCCTGCCCCTCAGATTTGACTTCAAGAGCTTTGCCTTTATGGGTACATTAGATGGTCAATGCTCTATCCTTTCACTGAGACGCAAATACTGATTAAAATCACAATTGGGAATTAGTTTGGTGGTTTCAGCCTACTCTCCACCGGACATTATCTGACCGTTTGACAGACTCTGCAAAGGCAAGGTTCAGGGCATTTAAGCAAGACAGGTTTAAGATGCATTGGCAGAGCTTCAGATGAACCTTTCATCAGGCCTGCCTTTAGCTTCTGCCATTAGTCATGGCCATAAAACTATCTAATAAGTACAGCATTGTGCAGCTAAATCTTCTTAGGTCAGTATATTCTTAGAGATACTTTTTTTTTTTCTCTCCCTGAGGTTTTTACCACTGAGCTTCCAAAGTGCTTCCTTGGCTGAAATCAAATTTTATGAAAGCTGTAGGAGGTGTCTCTGCTCAAAAGAGTGCAGAATTCTGAGGAGGGTACTTTGTCAAGATAACTGAGTATCTAAGTATGAAGTCACACATTCTCCTTTGACCTTAAAAAGAAAATAAGACCAAATTGTTGGGAGACATATACATTCCAGTGTCCTGTGGGCACAGTTCTGTCTCCATTACACAAAAACTCCCATAGTGATTGGTAAGTGAAAAGTCACCTTTGCCCACTTCAGGATGTTTGGCACCATACAGTGAGCCACAGTATAACACACAAGAAATTCAGCATTTTACACATGCCCATCCATTTCATTATATAACATCTAGCATTCACTATCTACAGTCAAATGAGTAAAGCAGAAGTCATAGACAAACTTAAAATACTCAATAGTAAAAAATAAGCAGAATAGAGGAGACCCATGCCTTGCTATGATGAGGTATAATAGACATCAGCTCATGTCATACAAAAGCACATCATCAGTTAATAACTCAATTCATTAGCCCAGTCACAAGTCAAAAACAGCTTAATTGTCAAACAGACTCACCAAGTCCAGTATTACCCTAGGAACTCTAAAGCCTGACTTTATTCCAAAGAAAGAGTTTATATACAAATTCCTGATGGACAGTTACAGCCTGGCACTATAAAAGCCAAGCCATGCACACCAAATCGTGACTGGTACCACAAAACAATGGAGCAATATTTAAGTAGTAATAAGCAACATTTGCTCAGATCATAATAAAATTATTTGAATCCATATGATTCTGATTATGAGTCAAAAATTTCTACTTTTAAAACTGTTCACGAGGTGTATACATCATCTTCTAGCAAGTTTAGCAGCCAGAAGCAAGAGAAAAATCAAAAGACAATGGCACTTATATACCTGTGCTGTACTATTTTAAAACTACCCAAGAGACTAAATCTATAATCTGAATAATTCTCTGAAATTAGTATTTCAATAATGTCAATATTGAGTTAAATAGCAGTGATCTGATTCTGAGCATTCTTTTGTTTCTGAAAGAGCTGGAGTTGCAAGGGATACAGTAAGGGAACTAAACCAATTTCTTCCTTGACAGATCATATATTTCTATAGAAGACCTACCCAGACACCAATGGCCTGAAGAACAAACCCCACCCATGTACATATCTGGTCTACAATCTTACAAATTCTGTTTAACTCAGTGTAGGAATCAAATTATGGGGGGAAAATGCTGCGGTGCTAGTTGTGATGCAGTTCTTTTTAGAAACTATTGCTGTCGCAGAAGTAAAATGTGTTCTCCCTGAGGCTACGTCTACATTTCAGGTTATTTTTGGAAAAAGGTACTCAAATTGCAAACTGCAATTTGTGTACCTTTTTCCGATTCTTTTTTTGGAAGAGGCTTTTCCGACATTTGGCCCGTCTACATGGAGCCTAATGTGGGAAAAACCTCCTCTTTCAGAAGAGGCCTTATTCCTCATAAAATGAAAAATACAGGGCTTCTGAAAGAGCCCTGGACGTTACAGAGTTTTTCCGGGATACCTCCAGTATCCTGGAAAAACTCTGTAGTGTAGACATAGCCTGAGTCTATCAAACTGGAATAATTCTATGCATGCATAACTGCAATATATATGCCCACACACACGAAAAAGCAAACATTGTAAGGAGAAATAGAAAGGCACAGAAATAGCTGTTTAAGAATATAAATAGTATTTTATTGCAACATAGTTTATAGTAATTTCTCCATGTGCTCCTATACTTCCCATTGCAGACCTCTGCTTTCTACAAAGTCCCATCACTAGGGAGGATGGTTCAGTGTTTAGGGTCCATCATGGGATATAGGAGACTGGAATTCAATTCCCTGCTCACCCAAAAACACTGACAGTGTGACTTTAAGAGAGTCAGTTAGCCTCTCTGTGCTTCAATTTCCCATTGTTTAAATAGTAGCACTTTCCTAACTCACAGCCTTGTTGCAAGAGTAACACATTAAAAAGTTCTCCAGAGGGATTCAAGTTCCTTATCTTACCATGCATCTGCTGCCTCCTCTCACCATTTTAACATTTTATTTTGGCTGCATATGATTTTAAACATACTTCTTGTGTGTGAACCATACTACACTTAAATCTAAATAAATGAATCCAAGTTCTGGAACTATGGCCTCATTCTTTGGTCCCATCCCCAAACTGATATGCAGTGTCAAAGAATTACAGGAGTAAACCCTGAGGGAATTGGAATATTTCTGCACTATATAATTGCTACCTAGTTTCATAGTATGTACAAAATCCCAACAACTACAGGAATAATAGCATTTGGAAGGAAAGGGTTCTATAGTCAAGCATAAATCAAACAGACAAAAGCCCTGTTTAGGTCTAATTGGACGTGTGGATGTAAGACACTTTTGAACTGTGCGTGATGCTAACCATATGTAGTAATATTGAGTGTGTTACAGGAAGAGGAAGAATACTGAAGCACTGAGGAGGAGGAGGAAAGCATTTGGAGAAGAAGATAAACAAATTAAACTTGTATTAAGGATATGTATCAAGATGTAGTGACTTTCATTTCAAGAGGCTGATGTAAGTATGTCTGCTAGAGCATGGCTGGGCATCACTTAAGAAAGTGAATGGAAAAGGGAGTAGGCAACATTAAACAATCATAAAACCTGCAGGGCCAATGTAGGAGTAAGAGATATTTACAACAAAGATGAAGGTGACAGAAGACAAGGCAGTGACGGAATGCTTTACTTGGGTAGGGTAGTTTTTCTTTGGATGTCATGACACTACAGGATAAAAGGGGAGGAATTTCTGTACAAAGAAAAAATGCTTTAAGAAGCACAAAAAATGATATATGCTTTGGCAAAAGCATATGTCAGATTCTTTTTTCCAGGATTTCCCCCCTTCAGGGAACCCTTTAGGTTAACTCGATGTGCTATACCTCAGCATTTTTAATTGACAGCTTTATGGCCCGGTACACACATACCATATTGTGTGCTGCTTCTTCTGGGGTTGATTCTACTCCACCAAAGAAAATGCCTTGCCACTGACTTAAATGTGTAATGAATCAGGCTGCTAATGCTGTAATGAATATACTAGATGTGCCTGTGTAAGCTGAGGCTATGAAAAGGGCCAATGGAAAATTATAAGGATATATCTGTGCAGTGTAAATTTTTTATTCTGTCCCCAAATATTCTGGCTTTAGAAGACATGCCTTAAATGCAAATTTGCATACATCCTAGCAATCTCAACTTGAGGGAGACCTTATGTCATCAGGAAAACAAACTTCCTTGAGTTCCTTAATTTCTTAAGGCAATTTTAGCATGAAGTTGTCAAATTAATGAATTGCCTTTGTCATGACTCACCTACATTTTATAGGCAAGATTTATCTGCATTTTCTTCTCAGCTTCTGGATATATTTCTTCCCTCTACACTATTCTTTAAGAGTATGGTATAAATCTTATAATTTTCTAGTCTGTTTTTCTCAAATTCCTAGTGACCCAATATTCTTCAGAGACTACTATATAGAAACACACATATGTAATCCACTGGTGAGTGTATTTTGTGTATCTTTGATGCAATTCTGCACTGATCCACAGAGGACATGAGCTGTCACAGCCACTAGCTATGACACTTTAACAGATCATGGAAATCCCCAGTTCAATTCTTGGTGCTCTAGTCAAGATGGCAGCTGTCACAAACATACACAAAACTTAGTTATGAAACTATGTAGGTAGTTACATGCGGACATACCTTCCATGAAAAAAGGAAATAAAAATTAAGGTGCCCTACCATACATACACCCTCACCCATGTACCTTATAACGGTTAAAACTGATTTAACAATCTGAGGATAGATGCTTCCAAATGGGTGGGGTTGTTATGGATGAGTTCTCCAAAACACTTCCTACCTCTTACCTCTGTGGCAGAGTTATGGATAGAACTGAGTTTTTCAGGGTAGAATTCACTTGTCTTAACAATCCATTCTCTTCCTGCAGTTCCCTTCCTCATTCATTACACGCCTTCAAAATCTTCACTTATGGATGAGTCTGTCCTAGTACTACTAATAGAACACATCTCCTAACTTCCAACAAACGAAGCAAGGGTTTACAGACAAAAGAGCCTCCCTCACTACACAACTCCCTGATTCAGAGTAGGTGAATCCACTGAATGAAGCCATGGAAAAAATTAGTCTGTGAACATGTAATTAAATAATATAATCATGCATATGCACAAGGGGTCAAATTAAAGCGGTACAGGCAACCATAATACTGGCATTTGCTAACTTTCAACTTTGTAAACTTAATAATTCTAAATGTTATTGTATGCAATTTCCTAGGGGTTTTGATTGACAGAAGAGCCATGGTAAGACTCAGGAATCTTGGATTCCATTCCAAGTTCTGGAAGGGAGTGTGTACTAGGGGACACAGATTGTTTTACCAGTTTTCCCTTAGCTGCATCTCTTTGCTCCATGTCCTCCAATTTGCTTCTTCCCCACCTCTGGTTTCTTGTTCCAGTCCCATTCTCCTTGTTTATTCATTCCCAGTCTCCATTACTTAGGTTACATACCTAAGACTCCATCTTCTTGCCCAACCAGTTTCCACACTTCAGCCATGCTGTCTAAGTACTAATCTCCTACCCAGCTCCTAGTCTCCCCATACCTACATACAGATCCAATCTCCTTACTGAGTCAGCCCCAATTCCTTCTACTTCCTACTGGCCTCCTTATCCCTGAACTCTTCCTTCCCAGGCAGGTCCAATTCCTGCTTTTCAACTCCTCGTCCAATCTGCCTCTCCCACTCCTCCTCTCAGGCTGCCAGTCCCAATTTCCCCCATCTGTTCCCTGGCCCCTTGTTCAAATCTCCTTTCCCTGCTAGTTCCAGTTTCCCCTCCATATCCTTATATTTTGTCAAATCTCTCTCTCCTTCTCCCACTCCATCCCTGCATTGGTTCCTAGTCCCAGTGCCCCCCACCCAGCTCTTCATCTGACTACTTTTTCCACCTTCAGCCAATTGGCTCACAGTGTCCCCTATTTCCCTCACTGGTTCTTCATCCCAGTTTCCTTATCCAACCAATCCCAGCTGGCCCCTTGGTTGTTCAGTCAGTCTTAGTCTCCCTCACATCAGTTTATCCTCCTCCCTTGAATTTCACTTAATTCCTAGTCCGCTGAAGACCTTCCTTCCTCCTGGTCCATGTCTGCATTCAGACCAGCTGTTTCCCAATATACTGGAGACAACTCAGGTTTGTGAAAAGAAATATGATCTTAAGTGAAATTTCTAGCTTAAAGTCTCAGTTTTGCTTCCTTGAAAACTGAGTGAATATGGAGAAAAATAACTTTAAAAAATATCCGATGAAGCTACAGCTATTTTCTCTAGTCAATTAACCTATCAAGTTAATACTGAGTTAGGTATTGAAGACAAGCAATTTAGTTCATTGGTGCCTCCATTTGACTGATTATTTAAATCTGTTTGAAATGCTATTATTAGATTAATATTTCTTGCCAGAAAGCAGAACTAAGAATGAATAACTTTAAATTGAACAGTGACTTTACATAGATATTGTTAAGGATTATTTAACCTCTTTCATGTAAATATAGAAATTGTTTATTTCTGTGATTTTTTTGTTTGCTATTGGTTCTGTTTTTGTTTATATTTAGGCTTGTTCTCTTTTATGCTGCCCTCCCCTCCCTCCCCACATCTTTCTAAAGAAGCTGGGACTAGATGACATGGGATATATCATCACTTGCTAACTGCCCTGTTCTTTTCATTCCCTCTGAAGCATCAGACACTTGCCAATGTGAGAAGACAGGATACTGGGTTAGATGGACCATTGGTCTCACCTAGTTTGGCCATTCTTAAGCTCCTAAATTATCTGCTTTAAAGACTAAGATTTTTGAGGCCTTCCATATTTTGTTCATAGTTCATTATATTTTCTATGCCACTTGGTTAATAAATCTTACCTGAAATGTGTTGCTGGATTTTCATATCTTTTATTGGGTGAATTATCATAGATATGAGATATTTCATAAATTATCCTTTTTTGAGCCTATATCCCATATTGATGTAAATTGTTTTAGGTCCACTGACTTTAATAGAGCTGTACCAATTTACACAAAAAAACAGAATGTCTCTCTCTAATTGCTACATATAAACAGAAAGTTCTGAATTTCTCACAGTGAACTATTAAAGTAAGAGATGAGTTCTTCTGTATTGAAGCAGGATACCAAAGATTCCCTGGGTAGTTCTTCTGAAACAGTGATGTTAATTTGGGAAATTTTGGCATCATTACACAGAAGTGCCATGGGAGTGCTGATAGATATGGCCTAGCATGCTAGCATCTGGCATGGATTCAAGATGGTATAACTTAAGTAGGGAATAATGGGTGTCTGTTTTGTCTCTGTGGGATGATGTGGAGATCATGCACTGATAATGTTCCCATTAAGAGATCTATGTCATATGAGAGCCCTCCCAAGCAGACACAGCCTTTGCAGGGAGTCAGAGAAAAGAACCCAGTTAAAATGGCTTCTTTACATTTTTGCATAATTAAAACAGAAATTTAAAGAAAGAATATTTGGTTCTAACTGACAGCTGAAATTATTGCCAGAATGGTTCACTAATAAATAACATCTAATTAGCCAGAAATTATTCAATGATTAATCCTTAATTTTCTGTGCTTCTCGTGTAGGTATTTAAATTACTCTATATTATTTCTTCCTTTTCAGACTATTTTAGAATGTGTTCAGAATTATCCCAGCAGGTTCCTAGAGGAGTAAAAGACAGCTTTGTGTCATCAAATCAGCCTCAATTATGTCATCAGCAGGAGCAAATACATCAACAAGTGCTCCATCAATCCAGCATTCTTTGAAAATTGATGCACAGATATCTCCCTATTCAAGGAGATGAGACTAGTCGGATCTTTACAAATTAGGGACACATTTTGGCTCCCAGATAGAGAAGATTTGGAAGTTCTTAATAAGTTCAAAATAAAATTGTGGGGAGAAGTTTGCCATATGTTGTAGAGGTGTTAGTTTCCCCCCGTTGTTCCCCGCTCCTAAGTCAGCCATCTGCCAGACTTCCAATCTGCTTTAATCACTCTCTGATATGATGGGTGGGAGAAGTGGATAGGAAGCAGTATAGTGCTCGTTTGAATAGAAGAAAAATATTGCCTCTGGCATTCTCAGTGAAACACAAAAGCCATGTAAAGCTGGAGGTAGTTTCATCATGCTCAATTTCAACTGACCAAGAATCAAAATAATAAGGAAATTGCAGGATTATTCTTTATTGGGGCTGATTCTCCACTGCATCAAATATGCTCCAGAGCATATGCACTGGTTTCAAAGATGTTATCCCAGCATAAACCCAATTTTATGAAATGGTCAATCAGTCTTACTGACTCTGAGCACTCACAATATACAGTGGTGTTTAATTAAGTACTATCAGTACATATCAAAAAAGTTCAAAGGCTGTTAGAAGAGGCTGCCATTTGGATGCCAAGCAGCAAGAGAAGAACTGGAACTCTGCAGTCCCTACAGGAAGAAGTTAGGGTGCTGCATTTATGCCCACAATTCTTAAACTGCTATAAAGTTATTTAAATATCTAATAAGTCAACACATGTGCACCTGAACATTACTGACCCATTTTCTAACCAATCTATTTGTCCACCATTTTAGAACCTGCTAATAGGTCAGGTGTGGGCAGTAAACAGCTTGCAGGCCTGCCACAGTTCACCAGGATTTGCCAGACCACCAGACACTTTGTTTATCTGCATGTTCACAGGTATGGTTGCAGTTCACTGTTCCCATCAAATGGGCGTTAAAGAAAGCACCGGGCCATCTCTTCCTGTAGCTCCCATTTCCCAAGAACGATGAACCACAGCCATTGAACACTGTGAGCAACAATACCTATGGACGCTCAGGTAAAGAAAGAACCCGGGGCTAACTCTGGCACACCACATCCAGGCCATTGGCTGCTTATTGTCCACCTCTGTAGTAGGCACTTGACTTGGCACTCTCTCCTGGGAGGGAACTGCTGTCACTATGCTCTCTATGGAGCCTCCTGTTCTGCAATTTTCCTTTCATCCTTGTTCTGACCAATCCTGGATCTTTAACTATTCCAGGCATCTTTCCTCATGAGCATTCCTCATGGGGAATGGCTGGAGTGAGGGATGAGGGGAGCTTTATAAGATGATTCTATGGAAGGATTTTTACAGTGACTTATCTCTAATTCTGAAGTGCACGCTGGCCCTTTTATGCCATTCTTGCAGTGTACTGGTGCTGGAAATTGCCTGGTACTTCTCCCACTGCAAGACATTTTCGTGGCAGTATATGACTAGAAAATGGATCTTTACAAAATGAGCTTTTAGAAGGAGTTTGGTTCAGGGCATACAAAAGACAGAAGGAGGGGCGTTAGTGGAGGAAGAGGGTGTGGCTAGAATCTACTGTCCTTGGAGATCATTTTTCCAGCTTATTTCAAAGGCCTAACAAGCCCTCGTAGCCTGAAGCTGCAAAAAGAGGCAAAATGGCACATTTGTTCTCTCTCCCTGCTTTCCCTTCTGGGCTCTTTCTCCTCAGAGGTGCAGCTTGGAATCAGATCCACAGTATTTATTAGTAGGGAATTATCTGTATGTGAAGACCAGCCCTTGGAAATTCTGTAAAGACATCTAGGGAAATATACACAAGTAAATGATATCATTTTAGGACTGGGGTAAGTGAGAATTCTTGGATGAGGCTGAACAGCCAATTGAGAAATATCACTGTCGCCTCAGCAGTGCTGAACTTAGACAGCTGCAAACAGGAATTAATTCAGACAGTTCTATGACTGATGTTATGCAGGAGGTCAGAGCAGATAATCACGGTGATGTCCTCTAGCCCTTAAACCTATGAGGTGTACTGCATGGGAGTCAGAGAGACACATAGTAAGCCCCTCCACTTGGGTGACTGCATAAAGGCATTTCACTATAGTAAGGCATATTCTCCCTGCAGTTTGCAGAGTCCATTGCCTATGGAGAAAAAGCTGGCCAAAGAGGAGGTGAGGATGAATGACTCCAGGCAGAGCAGGGCTAGCTCAACAAGGGGAGCAATCCTTTAACACAGTAATCCATTAGACTACATGTGCATGCAAGTGTCCATCCACATGAGGGAGGATTTTGCCCTTCCTAAGGATGTAAAAATAGAAGAGAAATCAAACCCCAGTGAAGCTACCACTCCAGAACATGAATTCCAGCCAATGTGATGTAAAACGCTGAGTAAGTAATGGCAAAGATTTTATTCAGAACAAAGCTCCACTCACATAAAAATAATGTCAAGTACATCTGACGTCCTGTAGGCAACTCACACTTTGAGAGTCCTTGGGACCCCTATGCCCCAAGAACTACACATTATGCCTAATAGGCACTGGCCTAATTGGAATCTGCTACACAGAGAACCAATGAAAACTGATGCTGTTAGCATCTCTAAAACCAGAACCACATATTAAGCTATCTAATTTCAGATGCACCTGAATTTGTTACCTGCTACTCACTTTTAGGCATTCATTGTAAGTAAATATTTACCCACTCTACAATTTACTGAAGGTCAGATGATGGACTTGTATTTATGCTGAGTAGCACTTTATCCTACAATAATCCATTCAGGATAAATGGGACATATTTCAAGGAAAAGGCTACTCAGGATGAATAAATTCAATACAATCCACTAGTAAACAGAGGCCTACAACTCATATAACATTGACAATTACAAGGACTCTCAGGCTACGTCTTCACTGGCATGATTTTCCGGAAATGCTTTTAACGGAAAAGTTTTCCGTTAAAAGCATTTTCGGAAAAGCATGTCTAGATTGGCAGGACGCTTTTCCGCAAAAGCACTTTTTGTGGAAAAGCGTCCGTGGCCAATCTAGACGCGCTTTTCTGCAAAAAAGCCCCGATCGCCATTTTTGTGATTGGGGCTTTTTTGCGGAAAACAAATCTCTGCTGTCTACACTGGCCCTTTTGCACAAAAGTTTTTCGGAAAAAGACTTTTGCCCGAACGGAAGCAGCATAGTATTTCCGCAAAAGCACTGACAATCTTACATGAGAAAATCAGTGCTTTTCCGGAAATTCAAGCGGCCAGTGTAGACAGCTGGCAAGTATTTCCGGAAAAGCAGTGACCAGTCTAGACACAGCCTCATTGTTTACGCAGTAAACTCATCAAGTAAGGTCAAGAAGGAATTTCCCCAATGATACAATGGTCCAAATGGAAGAAAGTTATAGATCTCAATTGTTCTCAGACACAGCTAGTCTAGACCATTTTTGGATAGAAATGACTTTATAAAATGGATCACTGGGCTCATCCAACATTGCTACTTAATAGATCTGATCCAACTCCTATTCATGTTCATAGATTTCAACTGAGAAGTATGCTCCTATCTATAGTATCTTGTTTTACTCTGCACAGTCTAGAAACTTAGAGTAGGTATACATGAACGACTCAGTTACTGAGAACAGTGCAATTATTTGAGTAGAATCAGGATTAGGATTCTTATTTAGTGACTGACTGGGGCAACAACTGACCACACTCACTGTACAACCACACTACAGAAGAAACATGGGGAAGATAGCTAAGGCATAGTTGGAGTAGCAGGGGAGAGGGGAATGTACCTTGGTAAAATGTTTTAGTTTCACCAAGAACAGAAGTGTCAGTTTGCACAATAAAGTCTCCAACCGTGAAGTCTACAGGAAATTGAAAAAACATGGAGTAAACAGACTATATTTCTCCCTCATTTACAAATATGCATCCTTACTAACTTCAGGGAAATTTCACAGATGTAAAAAAGGACATAATTTGGTCCAATATCTTTAGATACCCACCAGGAGGTTAAATATAAGAGTTATATTATTTAATTTTTATTTATTTGAAACACGTCAAATTATGTTGAAGGATATACTTTTTGTAATTCATGATGGTATAAAATTGTAAGAAAACTGAAATAATTTTATAGTGCAAGTGCCTAACATATTTGCCACCTAAGCAGGTATAATAAACAATTTATTTTTTCCTGTACATAAAAATATTCCATTATATTAAGAATAGACTATTTGGGAACATTGTAGGCATGAATGAAGTCCTCTAAAGCAGCAACAAATATTATTAAACAATAATGATGTTTACTCTTATGAATCCATGTAGTCTAACATAAGAATATAAGAACGGCCGTACTGGGTTAGACCAAAGGTCCATCTTGCCCAGTATCCTGTCTGCCGACTGTGGCCAGCACCAGGTGCCCCAGAGAGGGTGGATCGAAGACAATGATCAAGCGATTTGTCTCCTGACATCCTTCTCCAGCCTCTGACAAACAGAGGGCAGGGACACCAATTCTATCCCCTGGCTAATAGCCTTTTATGGACCTAACCTCCATGAAATTATCTAGCTTCTCTTTAAACTCTGTTATAGTCCTAGCCTTCACAGCCTCCTCTGGCAAGGAGTTCCACAGGTTGATTACATTGTTTTATACAGGGACAGTAAGTGTCTTATTTTCTATCCCTTTCTTAATAATTCCTAGCATCCTATTTGCCTTTTTGACCGCGATGCACACTGTGTGGAAGTTTTCAGAGAACTATCCATGATAACTCCAAGATCTCTTTCCTGATTTGTCATAGCCAAATTAGCCCACATCATACTGTACCTATAGTTGGGGTTATTTTTCCTGATGTGCATTACTTTATACTTATCCACATTAAATTTCATTTGCCATTTTGTTGCCCAATCACTCAGTTTGGTGAGATCTTTTTGGAGTCCCTCACAGTCTGCTTCTGTCTTGACTATCCTAAACACTTTTGTATCATCCACAAACTTTACCACCTCACCGCTTACCCCTTTCTTCAGATCATTTATGAATAAGTTGAAAAGGATTGGTCCCAGGACTGACCCTTGGGGGACACCACTAGTTACCCCTCTCCATTCTGAAAATTTACCATTTATTCCTACCCTTTGTTTCCTGTCTTTTAACTAGTTCTCAATCCAAGAAAGGACCTTCCCTCTTATCCCATGGCAATGTAATTTACACAAGAGCCTTTGGTGAGGGACCTTGTCAAAGGCTTTCTGAAAATTTAAGTATACTATATCTACTGGATCCCCCTTATCTGCATGTTTGTTAACCCCTTCAAATAACTCTAATAGATTAGTAAGACATGATTTCCCTTTAGAGAAACGGCGTTGACTTTTGTCCAACAAATTATATTCTTCTACATGCCTCACAATTTTATTCTTTACTATTGTGTCAACTAATTTTCCCGGTACTGAAGTTAGGCTTACCGGTCTGTAATTGCCAGGATCTCCTCTAAAGCTCTTTTTAAATATTGGTGTCATGTTGGCTACCTTCCAGTCATTAGGTATGGAAGCCGATTTAAAGGATAGGTTACAAACCACAGATAATAGTTCAGCAATTTCCCATTTGAGTTCTTTTAGAACCCTTGGATGAATGCCATCCGGCCCCGGAGATTTGTTAACATTAAATTTTTCTATTCGCTGCTATGCTGGGTAGAGGTGCAGTTAAATTCATTAATCTAACTTTTGAGACCTCCTGGTTAGGATAACCCATCTGCTGTTCAAGGTAAGAATACACAAGCTCACCTGGGAGATTAATTAAAGTAGGTTGGAAGGCTAATTAGTTAATAAGGTCATTAAAGTTACTGATAATGTGCTGCTGTTATTCTATATTTCTATACAAGAAAAGGAATTCAAAAGACTGGTACAGCTAACTAGGGGCCATTGTGAAATGAATATTGTGGCTTAGGAAGGGACTTTCGAGCTGCAGCTGGTAATGCCATTCTGAATGTTTTATGAAGAGTGCAGAACTGAGCATATCTGACCTTTACCTCACATCACCTCATCAGAGAGAAGTGAAGTATGGTATGGATGTTTCAGTGTTACTCTTCACTGGCTATGCACGGAATATGGCTTGTTTAATGAGAAATGCTTTATTTTACCTTTCACGGGTATCAATCAAAGTACTTAGTAACTACAATTCATTGAGTTGTACCTGAAGTGGTAAATAGATTTAACAGGATTAAAAGTAATAGCCATACAACCAGTTGTGAGGGATAGAGTACAGCATGGATCCTCTTTTAGACACCCTTTTATATGGCAATAGTCAACCTTTATGAGCTAGAGTAACTTCATGAACAATAAGAGTCACAGAGAAGCTCAAAGTGTTATGGCTTCCAGACCTTTCCCGCTTTCTTGTTTACATCGTGATGCTGCTTCAATATGACTGTATCATCATATTTAGAGACAATACCATGAGGCTAACATGGGTATTTTCTAAAATTCTACTTGATGCAATCTCTCTCTTCTCTTCCCTTACCCCTACGCCTTCCAATTTCCTAGCTGTTGGGAAGGTCAAGACAAATTTATCTCAACAAGTCTGGTTCCTTTATAGAGAAACTCTGCTGTGCCTCAGGGGTGTATCAAGCAATGTAGGGAGCGCTTCTGTGAAGAATGTTCTGCTTGGAGAGCAGGCAAAACAAAATGAGCTGCAGCCATCCTTGCAAATGCCAGAAGAGGCACAAGTGAGATCCCGAAGAGCCCCATGAAGCTATATTAAATATTTTTACTAATCAGGGTCTCTGAAAGCATGATGAAGGTTTATTAACCATTTTGTCAATCTGACTGCAGTTCCAGACCAGTGCCCTCCACTTGCGTCTGATTTCCATGACAGGACTTGAGCCAGTGTAACATTTTCCTCTCTTTCCAACTAGCCTTCTCTCCTGTCTTCATTGGTGCGGGTGGAGAGGGGGGAGGGAAAGGAGGGAAGGGGACAGGGAAAGGAAGGATGGAGAAAACAAAATGGACACTCTACCTTTTTCTCCAAAAATCCTATGATCTTTGAAGGGAAATGAGAAACCTGCTCCTTCTCTCTCCCTAGTTTGGCACAGGGCAACCTGTACATATTTCTCCCATTCTGCTGCTGCCCCCTTCACTACCAGTTGCCTTTTTCTGGGGTAATTCAGAAGGAAAGCATCTATGGTAGGAAGATTCCTCAGGACAAATAAGGAAAAAGCAGGGAGTACTAATTGATACATCTAAGTCTAAAATGGATGTGTAACCTCTTGAACAAATAAGTATTTACGCAAAGCTTGACTGATTTCATATCCCTCCCTCGGTATTGAAACTTTGGCTGTTCCCATAAAAACTTCAGCAAATTTTGTTTCATTTAAAGTATATATGACCTCTTCCTAAGATTATGTCATCCATGACATAGTTGTACTTCTGCTAAACACTTAGCACCATAATTCCTGGAAAACTATCAGTTAAATAAGATTAGGACAGTTGAACTCACTTAGATTATGTCTACACTGAACATTTATTTCAGAATAAGCTATAGTTATTCTGAAACAGTTTATTTCAAAACAGCCCATCTACACCACAGAGACGCCTCAAAATTAATCGAAGGCAGGCTTCCCTAATGTAGATGTGCTATCTCGATTTTGAGCCCCAGGAGGAATAATTTAGAATGGCCCTGAAGAAGGGCTATTTTGAAATATCAGAAGTAGAGCGTCTACACACGTTTTATTTCAAAATAGCTATTTTGGAATAGGCATTATTCTATGTAGAATGAGGTTTACAGAAGTCAGAATAAGCTGTCCGTTATTTCAAAATTATTTTGAAATAACGGAATTGCTGTGTAGATGCTCGCGTAGTTATTTCAGAAAAATGGCCATTATTCCAAAATAATTTTGCTGTGCAGACACACGCTTAATGTCATGGGGCCAACTCAATTCTCAGTCATTAACAGTGGTTCTCACTGAGCTACACGGAGCCATGTAAATTAGTGTATTCGGCATAGTCAAAGAAGCGGGGATTTAAATAATCCCCGCTTCATTAAAATAAACATGGCCACCGCACTGTGCCAAAGATCAGCTGATCCGACATAGTGCAGCAGTCTAGACGCAGATTTGTTGGCTGGGGAAGGCTTTGCCGACCGATCCTGTAACCTCGTTTCATAAGGCATAAGGGATCGGTCAGCAAAGGCTTCCCCAGCTGAAAGATCCACATCTTGACTGCCACGCTGTGTCGGATCAGCTGATCATCGGCACAGAACGGTGGCCATGTTTATTTTAATGAAGTGGGGATTATTTAAATCCCCGCTTCTTTGACTATGTTGAATACACCAATTTACATGGCTCCGTCATTGGAGCCATGTAGTCTAGATACACCCAAGGTGTGTCAGAGGAGATATGTGTGTGTGTCAAAGAGGAGCTAAAGAAAAAAGTTACAGATGAGGTAAAAATTTTCACACATAAAAAGCAATGATGATTTTCAATGCAGTTTCAGTTCTTATAAAATTAAGTATATTGGACTTATTGTTTGTGGAAAAAACATATTAAGATGTTATTCTAGTCTTCTGCACCTTTCTTGGCACAAAAGGATGATGGTAGATTTTAGCACTTTCTACAGTTTTCCATTGACTTCACTTTTAAGTTACCCTTAATTTTAATTCATGCAGTTGCAGAAAGAAAAATTAAAAGCTCTGATAGTACAGCCATTAGTTGTTATGCTTTATTAAAAAATTCTACTTGCACACTTCTGCAATTTTGCAGCCTTTTAAAAATACAAAACAAACTTTAGTGCATAAAGAAGCAGAATCTGTCAGAAAAACAAAGACTAGTAGAACAGAGTTCAATGATATATGAAGGTACCTGTATAAAAATCCCTGTGTGCAAACATGTCAATCACATAGCGACAGAATGCATATTGATCTAACAGAGCAGAAAGGAAAAAAGAGCAATGAGAAATTAAGTTTAAGGCCTTTTTACCCCCCATGCACACTGAAGACAAAGCTCAGCAGTGACAAAACATGTTTTTGGCTATTTTTGTGATTTCTCTCAGTATTTTTCCAGACTTTAAACAGTTTTCTCTTTCTTTCAGTACTGGTTGCATGGGGTACTGAGGCCAAATGGGTTTGTATTAACCAGCCCACCCACAAAATGACTTGCAGTGAGTATATGCAGAGAGCAATTCTGCAGAGTGCAGAACATGAACCGGCACTCCTGCACTGCTGCTCAGCCTCCTGACCCCCAATATTACCCCTGTGCAGGACATGATCAGTAAAGAGAAACTTGTATAGGTCCTGTGCATTAAGAGGGAACTTTAGAGCCAATCCTGCAAACACTCCCAAGTGTAGTGCTTATGAACAAGGGCTGTTCCTTGAAGTCAATGATATTCACAGTAGAAAAGCAATGGCAGGACCACCCACTTAGTTCTGAATTTCCTCACGTTAGCGGCCTTAAGAGAGAACTGTTATATCAATTTTAGTTTCTGAACATGTCTCAGTGAGTTATTTATATTGTTAATTACTGGTTACCTTTAAACAGAAGACCCCAAAGTCCTCAGAGGCATGTACAAAAGTTCAGCCCACCTGTAAACTGATTTTGCCAATAGACCGAATGGCTTCTGTAGACCCATAATATTCCTTTTTAACTATTCACATTTAATAACATTTTATAATGGAATATTTTATTAATATGATTTTAGGGACTTTTGAAAATCCAATAAGAAAGAGAGAATGATACTCAACAGGAATATAAATAGAACCATATGTACTCTGCAATTCAGCAGCTATGAAAATTGCCACAGAATCATGCTTTAGATACTAAGTGCTTTTTTTTTAAGTCATGAAAGCTAAGAAGTTCAGGGTATCCTTAGGGATTTCAGGTATATCTACACCACAAATGAAGGTGTGATTGCAGTTCAGACTAGCATACCCACATTAGCCTTAATCTAGCTGGTGGGTAGTAATGATAGTAAGGACATGGCGTCATGAGTTGTCATGAGCGTTAGCCACCCCAATAGGAACCCACCAGGAGCTCTTGGCAGATTCTGTGTTTGCAGACCTGTGCCCTTGTTTCTTCCCTAATACTGTCCTGGCACCTGTCCTTGCTAAACTAACACCCCTTTATTTGTGGTATTGATGTTCTTTAAGTCAAAACAGTGTCCAAGAAATGCTGAGCACTGATTGATTTTAACTTTAGGCACCCAGTGTTAAAAACATTGGTCCAAGTTTCTAACATTTGCAATGATGAAGAAAACAGGTCATTTAGGGACTGAGTGCAAACTGATTACAGGAATGGCTCACTGAGTCTGCAGTTAGATAGAAACTATAGCTCTAATGGAACGGAAAACTGCCCCATTCATCTCCAAGGGATGCTATTTTTGAAAGCTAATGATGACAGTTCAAATGTCAGTATTGTTTAGCCATTCATTATTTTAGGATTTACATCCAGTTGGAGGACTTCTTCAGCAATTCCAGACGGTCTTCCAACCCTTCCTATCATAGGTGTAAAAAAAAAAAAACACCCTCTACTCATTTACCAAAGTGAGCAGCTTTGACAAATTCTCTGATGTAATTATGTGTGTTTTTTAAAAGATAAAATTATGCCAGATATTGAATAGTGTACATTTTAGAACAAACATGAATTCAATTATAAAATTATTCACTTTGGGTATGTCTACACTACAGCAATATTTCGAAATAGCTTATTTCGAAATAATGCGTCTACACACAAAATGCATTTTGAAATAGTGTTTTGCTATTTTAAAATAGCGCGTCCACATTGAGTGGATGCTGAATCGCATTTAAGGCTGGCTGGAACCAGGTCTGGCAGGGCATCAGGTCAGGAGTTACTTTGTGTGGCTGCTGCCCGAGGCTATCTGAGGCTTGTGCTTAAAGGGACACCCCACCGCAAACAGCCAGTTCTCAGCTTTCTCTGTTTGCTTGCCTAACCTTGATGAGGGACAGTAAAGCTTTTTGTCTGTGTATGCTCTGGTTGCCCTCACTCGGGACACCACAGCACTCTGCAACATGGACCCAGAGCTGCTCCTGGGCACTCTGGTGCTTCTCATGGACATGTTGCTGTGAGCCTGGCTGCACTTTCTTCAGGCTGCCATCTGGGAGGTCCATCGGGGGGCTGTGAGTATCCAGGAGGCCCTGCGGGAGAGCTTACATCCTGAGGAGCACTAACAGTCTCCCTGGTCTGCCCCACTGGGGGCTTGTGCTTTATCCCAATCTCACGTCCTTCCACTTACCCCTTCCTAACCTCCCTCCTGATGTCAAATAAAAAACACGTATTTTCATGAACACAAACTCTCTTTATTTAACAAAATTGGGGGGGAGGGATGAAACTCTGGTGAGACTAGAGAAAGGAGGCAGGAGAGGGGAGAAGAGAGGGTGGGAGAGGGGAGGAGGAAACCTGGGAGGAGGGAGCTGGAAGGGGGAAGCAAGGAGAAGAAGGAAGAGGGAAAGCTCAGGGCTCAGGGTTTCACCAGACCAACTTGATTTTCATGCAAACCTGCTCCTGGGTTCTCATGTGGCCTTTGGTGGCCAGGCTGGCAGCTATCCTGACGTAGATGGCTGCATTCCTCCATCTAGTGTGGAGATCATGAACGTTGGGGGCATCCCCCCCAAACCTGAATAAAGTCCATGATCTCCCCAGCCCCTGGCAGGCTCCTGGGAGCTGGCAGACTGCTCCTGGGGAGCAGATGAGGGCTGGCTCCCAGTGGCTCGCTGGCTCATGTTTTGGGGCCACTGGGTCGGGGCAGTGACTGCTGGCTCTGGGCTAGCAGGCTTGGAGCTGGCACAGGCACTGTGGCCAGAGTCAACACCTTTAAGTGCTCCAGGGACGGGGGAGGGAGAGGAGTGTTCTTGATTGAGGCTGGAGTGGCCACCAGGGCACCCTGGGAAGGCTGGAGGCCTCCTATTTCGAGATGAGTGTCTACACAGCACTTATTTCAAAATAGCTATTTCGAATTTGGCGTTATTCCTCGTGGCATGAGGTTTAATAAATTCAAAACAAGTGCTCCGCTATTTCAAATTAATTTTGAAATAGCCGTTTGGCTGTGTAGACACTAGTAAAGTTATTTCAAAATAAGGGCAGTTATTTCGATTTAACTTTGCTGTGTAGACGTAATCTCTCATATCTAATTCCCCCAAACCTCAATGTTTAATTAATCAGAAGCTGCTGCAGGATTTCCCTTTGTTGCCCTAGAGTGCTGCAGAATCTCGAGACCCTTGCTATAAAATACATATCAAGCTGTCCATGGAGTACAAAGATCCTTGACTATAAACAGTTCTTGTGAAGCCTTTAAGGTCTATTATATCAACTTGTAAAGGGCTGCAAAAAATAAACCTTTTTCTGATATTCCAAAAGCAGCCGGAAAAACTATTTTCTTAAAAAAAATTCTCAATATTTATTTATAAAGATATATAGTTCATTTGGATTGGGTAGTCTCTTGACCAACAAATACTTAGGGACTTTAAGATATTTGGCTGGAACAAGTGCATGAAGTCTGTGCACTAAAATAAAGATATTATCTGAATCAATAAAAGGACAATGAATCTCTCTCAAATTTAAAGGCCTATCCAAAGCCCACTGAAGGCAATGGAAGGACTCCCATTGACATCAATGGGTTTTAGATTAGGGTCAAAAGACATTAGTCCCTTATTGACTAGAAATCTCTACCACTTTTCATGTATATGAAAGGAGACCATTTTTAAACTTTGGAATGCAAACATAGATCTGGACTACTTTATTTCTCCTGTATATTTCTGTAATTGTAAAAGTCAAAAGTGTTTTTTTTTAATTACATCTGGGTGGAGATATTTTATGATAAATTTCAGCCCTCAGCAAATTTTTGGCATTACTTAAATCCTGAAAACATTTGTAATGGAAACTCAATCACAATATAGAATTACAGAAGAATGACTAACACCATGTACTGTTGCATATGAAACAGTAAGTTAACCATGTTCCCATTTATGTCACTGGAAAATTTCTTTCAATGATATCAATGCAAGAAACATGCCTTCAGGATTTCAAATAAAGATGCAATTTTCCAGTTGATTCTTGAAACTTCAGGGCTAAAGATTCAATTTAACAGAAAGTTTCCCACACTGGAGGTGAATTGATTTGGAAACATCTAACATTTACCAGTGTTCTTACATATGTTCAGTCACCTTGAATCTGAACCAATTGCTTGGAGCCTGATTCTGAAAAAAAGTGATGAGTGCATCCTACAATAAGCTGAGGTCCTAACACAGTGAACAGGTCAAAGCCATCAGAGTGCGGTCAAAGCCATCAGTAGGAGTTCAGTCTCCTACTATCCCAAAAGGCTCTGGTGTTTCCCGTGAAAACTAAATTTAGTTGGAATGTAAAAAATGCTAATGCAACAGCTTATCAATGCCAGGAAAGGAGCTATGTTTTTCCTAGGCCTCTAAATCCTTTAATTATTTTCAGAGGTCTAAAATATATGCATTAGGTAAAATAAAACAACCCCTCACATGGGCCAATGATGACAACCCAGACATTATGGATGAAACTGCTTGGGCAGATTCTTGCCTCACTGACTTCAAAGAGGCTCTGCACAGACACATGGGTATGCTCACAGGTATCAAGATTTAGGGTACATGAGGTACCTCTGCCTCTGGTTATATCATAGTAAACCACAGCCTGTAGTGTGGCTGAATTATAGCAGGCCAGATTCTGCTAACCTTATTCAAGCTGAGTTGGATTTTATTACATAAATTGTCACAGTGTACGCAAAGCACAGCTCAGTGTGAATGGAGAGTAGTAGAATCCAGCCTGACTGTTGCAGAGATATGCTTTTAGTGAATACCCACCCATTATGGAACTAATACATTTGCTCCCTCCTATGAGAACAACAATTCTTTTAAATTCAGTTGAAATCTGGAACCCGGTCATGTTTCCAGACTACATCAAGTCACATGAGGCATTACCTTGTCATTGTGTTGTACAAAGCGTGGTTTAGCCTGATGTAATAAAAATTATACATTCCACTCTATCAACTGTAATTTTTGTCATAGTTAAGCAGAAAAGATACACAATTGTAGAATCAAAATATACTTCCTGGTAGGCCACTAGGTAACTCATACTTAATCAAATTAATGTCACTATTAATTCAACATGTCACATTCTCTTTTTACTAAAAAAATCACTAAAAATCACTAAAAGGGCTAATTTCTAATAAAGGGCAATTTAAAAACCACCCAATTTTAGCATTAAGATCTAAGATCTGAATATCTTACTCAACTCTTCTGCTCCAAAATGTTCAGTAACTGTGAAAACTGGCCCTTGTTGTCTGAATGAAACATTCACATGCAAAATGAATCTTTAGTTATGCCAGTAACATTTGTCATGCTGGTGGATTAGCTTAAGAACCTTTGTTTTTGTGTGTGTTTTGTTTCCATCTAGTGACCTGAGACCCAATGGGGATTGAAAGATACTATTATTTTCTTTTTCCATATATGAAGATTTGACTTGGTCTCTGCCAGCTTACACATCATTGTCTCTGCTTCTTCCCTACTACTTTTTTAGCATCTTCGGCTGTTTCCTCCTGGTTTTGTTTACCTTTCTTTTCCGATTTTGTTTCAGCCTTCACTGCTTTCTCCTCTTTCACTTTCGGTTTTGCCTTTATTAATCCAGCTTCCTCTACTTTTGTTTCTGTCAGCTTGCTTTTTTCAACTGTCTTTGATTCTTCTTTTCCATCTTTCGTGTCCTTTTTAACTTTTTCGTCAACTTTGGGGCTCTTCACTTTCTTTTCTTCTGAATGTAAAAAAGAAATGTAAAAATAATTTTTCCTAAATAATAACACCAAGCACCTTTTTAATTCAAATTGGTGTAATGTATTATTCCTTTAGTGTTAACAATGTACAAAAAAATAAAAAAATTATAGATAGTCCCTGCTGTAAACAGCTTACAAATCTAATCATGATGGATACAGAGAACAAGACAGAATGGGAAGCCCAAGGGAATGAAGGCATATAAATCACTCTAAACAAACTAGTGGATAAAATACTCAACAATTCTATACCTTTTATAAACTGTATTAATCATATATGTGGGGCCTTTCATTATATGAAGGGGAAGAAGTGAAGTGATTCCTTCCTGATGATGCTAACAGCTTCTTCTGTTACAACAGGCAACTCACAATCACTTTCTGTTTCTGCTACCTAATCTTTAATACTAGAGATAATGACTTTGCTGTGCCTTTCTAATATAATACATGACATTTTCAACTTTTTAATCTTTTCTACTATCAATTGATTTTCAATTCAACACAAAAAGTCAATTTTCCAGCTTTTTTCCACGTCAACCCTTTTCCAGAGTGAGTTTCACTTTTAATGTACCAGCATTTTCTGATTTACATTTCCATGGAAAATTTTCTGATCAAGTAATGAAATACACTTCACAAGTTGTGAATGTTTGGGAATTACAAAATAATTGTATTTCTTTGAATTATGTGTAAAAGAGGACACACAAAAATATAAAATACCCTATAAATCACTCATTAAAGTCATTAATTTCAGTGGAGCTATAGCAGGCCTATATGACTCGGTCTGTGATAGTCAGGAATGTGTTCTGACTCTTAGTTCATTGTACTAACCACTAGACACGCTGACCATGATTCAGCCAGGCAAACTGTAGTAATGTCAAGGTGGATCAGGTCCCCTGGATTCTGGCCTTGCAATCCAACCATATATGTAGCCAGTCATTAATGGGAAAATCATCTCTAAGAACTACGATATGGTACAATGTCTTGTTTAGATAGGTCAGGCTAGGCCTCATCTACAGTGCATAAGCTGCAGTTTTTTACAACATCTTCTCTTAATAAAATCATTGTGATTATTAACAGTATCTAGCCTGATCTGGTAATAGATTTTCAGAGTCCTTTTTATTTTTAAATGGTTCCCTCTAATTAAGAATGTCCACAGTACACTTCTGCCAGTGTATACAGTAACCTTGCCAATCTTATGATACCTTGAATCTGGAGAATGATCTCAAGTGTGGTAATAATGAATGTCATAATTTCATGTGGCAATGTTGTGACATCATCATATGTCATCATAGCCTCACTAACAGTTGCTATTCCCACCATAGACTGTACCAGGTTGGCCTCTGGACAAATACACATTAAAGATTGTAGAAGCTGCTAATGATAGTTTTCATATCTAAGGGTCTATCTGACATACAGTCTGCAGATGGAATGGCAGGTACTTAACACCTTACAGGATGGGACACAAAATAGGCAACATGTCTAATCAAGGCACTAACTTGGTTCTTCAGAGACCCAAGCTCCAAAGTCTGTGTATATGAAAGCCTGTAAATGAAGTTGATGGGAGCTGAGGGCATGTGTTGGAGTGGAGAACTTAGCTCTTTCCAAATGTGCTGCTTCTGTAACCTTCAAGTTTATTTGACCCTGAAGCAATGTTAGAAGTTGCTGCAAAACTCCTGTCTCCCATATTGCTGTGGTACAGCAATTTCCACTAAGCTACTGGACCTATTAAACTGAAATTAACTATATGGACACTGAAATTACTAATGACACCGGAATAATATTTAGATGAGAGCCAATTCCTAACTCTACACAAGGTCACAACACTACTAAAATTCATAGGTGCTTGATCCAGGAATGCTGGAGATGCTGCTGGCTTGAAGTAGTTTCCAATAAATAAAAGGGCTCACAGTTTGTTTTAATAGCTCTCAGCACCCCCATCATAAAATTGTTCCAGCATCCCTGCTGAAATTTCTGGCTGATTTTGTTCAGTACATTTAGGAAATGTCATTTACAGGCAAGCTTGCTCTTGACTTTTTTTATGATTCAGTAGCACATGATTTTATTTTCTTTATCTTAAAAGATCTATCTTTTGTACTATGCTAAAGCAGATTCAACAAGTGTATTTTATTTAATCAAAACTGCCTATATATAGCTTGCTTTCATACACATTCACTCTCTGCTGGCTCAAAATAAGGATTTAACTTTTCAGCATAAATTGTTGTAAAATCAAAATGCAATGAAAAAGGAATAATTACCTTTAGGAGGAGCTTTCTTTTCAATTTTTTCTTCTCTTTCAGGTTTGACTTTTTGAATGACTAAAAATGAATAAAAATATACTTTTCCTTACAAAATGTACTGTGAAAACTGAAGAAAAAGAGTTGCCAAAAGAATTGCCCCAGGATCATGACACATCTCATGAACCTATTTCTGTTTCATTCATTTACAATTTACTCCATATGTCCCTCTTTTTAAAAAGGGCTCCAACTTCTTTGAGTCAGTAACACAGATATACCCATATAAATTGGTGATGTTTTAGCAGCTCTAACACAGAGCTCTGAGTTGGCACAAGATTTTAATCACCTTTATATGAGGTTTCATTCTCTGATACAGAAATGTATCAAACTTCTACTCTGATACTTCTCTCCTTCCTCTCCTTGATTACCATGAAGCCATATTTTGCTGGAACAAAATGTCCCTGAAAGTTATCTTCACTTAATTTGAGAGACAGCTAAATAACAGTAGCATTCTCTTTCAACACATTCCACTCTGGAATGGACACTCAATGTAATGGTCTGTTGGGTATGTGCTTGTTAGCTGATTTGTTGAGATCGTGTTCTTGCAAATATAAGTTCTTGGGCCCTTTACCTGGGCAGAAAAGCTACTTTCAAGTCTGCTTACTCAGCCTTCAGAGGATCTCCTGTGTGTAGGGAGAATTTTAAGTGGTTTAGAACCACCACAATGACTTCTGTACTACAATGTCTCCCTGCAGCTGGCATTTCATTAAGTGCCTGGGCATCCTCATGCTCCGATGATCCCCACCAGCTGGAATGAGCCCTTAGCATTAGTAGCAGATGACATAACATAGAGCAAACCTCAGCTAAAGCTGAGAAGTGGCCTGACACATACTGATGTAGGAAACATGCTTGAGGGAAGGACGGCTCAAATTAAAGAGGTGTGCACTAAGCAACTCATATACAGGAGCTGTTCATGCACAGAATTCTCCCCTGGGATTTAGAGCTGTTCTATACTAGAAAATTAGGTTGATTTAATTAAGTAATTCAGGAGTGCAAAAAATCTGCAATCGAGTGGTGTAGTGAAAACAATCCCCATGTAGACAGCACTTGGTTGATGGAAAAATTCTTTCATGAACCTACTTACTGCCTCTCGGGGAAGTGGGTTATCTATGCTGATCTAATGGAAATGCTGATGGAAAATACCTCCCATCCTTGTCAATAGTGTCTATGCTGAAGGGCTCCAGCTGTAGTGGTGCAGCTGTGCCACTGCTGCATGTTTTAAGGGTAGACGAGCTTTTTAAGAGAAATGGATCGTAATATCTCCCTAGCTACTAATGCAGTCAAATCACCAACAGTTAGCTAAGCAGAAACATGTTGTCCAGTCACTCACTGGCACATTTAATACAACAAAAATGGAGAGACAGACAGATCACACATTAGGGTTGTCTGAACCTAATGGAGGTTTGGGAGAGGGATTTGGGAGGGAGCATGCAAACTCAAGCCTAAATTGAGTTTGCAAATTTTATTTTTTATGAAGACCACTCCTGGTTTACCTTAGGATGTACCTTTTTAAACAAAATAAAAAAACCTACTTTGATATTTAAGAAAAATGTGCTACACACTGAAGATAGAAAAGCTAACTACATTTCATCCCTCAAAAAGGTAAGGGATAGTGCTTGTCTTTTACAAATCATGTTCATTTTTTCATTTGCTCTCTCATTGTACTCTCACTTGCTTTTCCCACACCTTTCGTTAGAAGACACAAACGCAAAGCAATCTGATTCAGACATTGTAACTCACTGTCACTATGTTTGAACAGCTCCAAAATCAAGCAAAATTAATTGCTGAGAGCCTACTTTCATTTCACTAACATATAAATTATTCTAGATCTAATCAGTGTGGGTATGTCTACACTACAAGGTTAGTTTGAACTAATGGACGTTAGTTCGAACTAACTTTCATAGGCGCTACACTAGCGCTCCGTTAGTTCGAATTTAATTTGAACTAACGGAGCGCTTAGTTCGAACTAGGCAAACCTCATTCCATGAGGATTAAGCCTAGTTTGAACTTACTAGTTCGAATTAAGGGCTCCGGAGCCCTTAAAGGGCCACGGGCTGGCTACACAGTTTGTGCCAGTTGCAAGGCTGACAGCACCCGTGCCAGCACACCCTGCACCTGCCACACCATGAGCCAGCCACCCGAGGACACCCAGCCCTCCACTGCTCCCCAGTACCAGCCTGGCAGCTCCCAGGACACTGCCCGGGGACGCAAGAGGCGGGCACCCACTTGGTCAAGTGCGGAGATCGTGGACCTCATCCAGGTTTGGGGGGAAGCCGCCAATGTCCACGATCTCCGCACTAGCCACAGGACCGCTCACACCCCTGAGCCAGCCACCCGATGCCCCCCAGCCCTTCCCCTCTTCCCAGTACCAGCCTGGCAGCTCCCAGGACACTGCCTGGGGCCGCAGGAGGCGGGCGCCCGCGTGGTCTAGTGCGGAGATCGTGGACCTCATCGAGGTTTGGGGGGCAGCCTCCAACGTCCACGGT